AACACAAAATTTGTTCCATGCAAAATTCCTGAAAAATATTCACTAACACCACACGGTCATGCACTGGACCAGTTTGGTGCAGGTCAACGGATTGGGTTCTGATGCACTTTCAATGTTGATTATTCTACAGGTAATAAAGTATGGGCTTTGTATCACCAGGTTTCCTGGCAAGAAGCTCTCACTCAATACTTTGAAGCCATTGGCGCCTATGGTATTGCACACTTGCTGAAGAAAATTTCCTCAGGCACTGGACATATCCCCATGAACTCAATCGATATTGCTGCCATGGAAGCAACTTTTGGGATTATCGACCAAATGTTGTCTGAGTTCTCGCCTCCATCTCGCTTAAGGACAGGTCCATTTATCTATTTAACACACACAGTTGACCTTCCTCCACATCATTCTGTCTGCCAAACACTGCCAATGACCCCATTCTCTACTCCTGCTGTTGACACCATGAACATTAGGGACGTTCAAAGTTGGGCGCCCACGCCCACCGCCCACACCCACGACCCCCCTCGCCCATATACCACTACCCATTTTGTACTTGAACGAATGTATTATATAATCAATGATAACTTAACACTGTCCGAAACCACATTACACTCAATGGCACGTCTCCGAACATCACACGAGCAATACCTTCACTCATATCTCTTGCTTATGGTTCTTCGTACTTTGTGTCAGCCAGATATGACACTCGAAGAGGCAGCAGTACAGCAGCATTGTGACTTATCTTGCATTCTTGCTATTCAACAAACTCGTTATCTACAAGAGCGCTCCCCTGTTGCAAAAGCCAGCACCCTGCACATTGCTTGGGAATACGCAAAATCTCCATCTGATCATAATCACTTTATTCACATGCTCCGTGTTTCTCCAATGACGTTTCAAGTCCTGCTCAATCTAATTGAAGGTCATCCGGTTTTTTTCCAATAATTCCAACAATGCACAGGCGCCTGTTCAGACTCAGCTTGCTGTCACTCTCTATTGAATGGGTAGATATGGCAATGGTGCCTCGGTACTGGACATTGCTCGCCTTGCAGGAATTTCTGAGGGTGCAGTAGAGTTGTTCACGCAACGATGCTTCCGTGCAATTCAATCTCTGCATGACACTTTTGTATGCTTACCAACTGCTGAAGAAAAGGAGGTTGAGAAATCATGGATAGATGACTGGCTCAAATTCCAAGGAACTTGGAGGGAAGGTTGGGTGATGTATGACGGAACAATTGTTGTTCTGCATACTAAGCCAGGCCTCAATGGAGATGAGTATTACACACGAAAGTCAAACTATGGACTGAATCTACAGGTACTATATCACACAGTTTTTTTAAATAATATTGAAGTGCTTTGACAGGTTGGAAATTTGCCGTCCAATCTTCGTATTGTGGACTATGCACATGGCCTGACTGGTTCTGCCCATGATGCCTCTGCCTTTAAGCATACTGCAGCTTCAAAACATGCAGATTGGTTTTTTAAAGGCAATGAGTTTGCCTGGGTAGACTCTGCATATCCAGTCAGTAGTCATACCATTCCAGTCCACAAGCGTCCTGCTTCTCTCATCCCCGAGAATGCTCTATTTGATAGTGCAGTAGCCCATCTCCGAGTACGTTCTGAGCATTGCATGGGAGCTCTGAAAGCGCGCTGGCAATGCTTGCGGGGGCTTCGGGTGACCATTACATCAAAGCACCATCATCGGGCAGCATGCGACTGGATTACGGTGGCCATTATCCTGCATAACCTTGTGATAGATGTTGAAGGAGGAGTACAAGGGGCACACTTTGCTGGGATCCACACTCACACTGATGAACAAGAAGATAGAGGATTGCCTGATATCCTTCCAGGTCAAGTGATTGGGAATAATGGAGAACTGAAGCGACAACAGCTTGTAGAAGAGTTGATGGCATTTCGACAAATGTAACAGAAGTATTTGTTGAACTACTATTAACAAGTATATATAATAGAAAGGTGTTAAGGAGTGACTAGAAGTTAACCATAAGGCAAAAAAAATTATCAAGAGGCGAAGGCAGAAATTATACCGAGACTCGTCAAAGAAATACCCTAATCCCAATCTGGCCAATCTGGAGAGTAACGAGCACGCTTCACAGGCTCAGCCTTGTCATGCATCAATTCACGGAGCTTTTCACGATACTCGTCAACATTCCAAATACCAGCCTCGAACTCTTTGAGCAGCAATTGGTGTTCTTGAAGCTGCCTCTCTGCTGTAGCACGAGCATTAATAGCATCTAAACTGGCCCTTATATATATGAGTAAGGTTAATTGAAATATAAATAAATAAAATGTACTTCTGCATGTCAATGAGTGTCTCGTCAAGGGTACGCTTCTTCGGCACCTTGGAGATCCGTTGTCTCGCTTTGGTGAGACTGTCTTGTAACATTGACGAAGATTTCGGGGCTCGCTTAGTTGTTGGGGTAGGGGTTGACTGCGAAGATGGGGGAGGATCATTCTCCTTGTCGTCGACATCATAAAGAGGTTGAGAATAGTCAGAAGGATCTACAATAGTATCGAAAGGAGACTCAAAAGATGGGGAGATTCCACGGTGTGCAGCCTCGTTCTGAAGGGCTGTGTGGAGGCTCTGGATCTGTGAAAAATTCTCCGATGCAAGTTCTGGCCCTTCGTCATCACTTGGAGGCTGGTAGTGCACAGTCTTCCTGCCATGCGGGCCGATACCAGTGGTGATGGCTATTGGAGTGACATTCGGACGAGAGGATAAGATTCGATGAAGAACAGGAAAGAATTTGAATTGCTCAACAATCTCATCTGTGTCATGTTAGAATTATTCTGGCGGAAAATAAGTAACATACCCCAAATACACTGTGCTTTCGGAGTTGTGGTTGTGTTGGGTCCATCAGCAGGGACATAGCATTCGAAAAATTCATTGTCGGAGACATTGCCATTCACATCAGATTGGACCCCTTCACCAGTTGTTCGGAGACGTCGAGCATGCACCTTGTATTTTTTTGTTAAGCTGAGCAGAATTGTAAGCTGAAAAATAGTGAGAAAAGCACAGCACTCACTACTCATACTTTCGTTTGACTCGGTCCCCCATTGCGACAGCATTCTGGCTGTGCAATTGCGGGAAAACGGCAGCCGCCATGCGCTGATACACCATCACTTTGCTATCACCTGACGTGTTCTGACACAGAAACATCATATCTCGTATCATATATGACAACTTTGACTCACTTACTTCGCCCTTCTTCCGTTTGCCTAGAAGCATGACTCTGTTCTCCGATAGTTCAATCTGCGCCAATAGCTGCCAGACCAAGTCATCAGTCCAGACAATCTTCGGGATTGTGACGCCGTTATCCTTCTTCTTCGCCATATGCGCAGATCTGATTGATGGTGAGTGAAGGTAACAAACCAATAAATTTTCAGAATTACTTTGTATTATCTAATTATGCAAACTACATTTTAGGTGACGACGTGTGGGCGAAGGGGTCATGGGCGTGGGCGGTGGGCGTGGGCGCCCAACTTTGAACGTCCCTATTGACAATCCAGCTGATAGGATAGAGCCTGGAGAGTACTCCTCTACTCCCAGACCCTTCAGGTCTGGTCGAGGATGTCCTAGATATTATTATAGAGGGAGAAGAAGGCATAATCACTCTCCTCAACAGCAAGAGCATGACTCTAATGTCCTCAGTGCTTTCATGCGCTTCTTCAGTGCCAAGGCCTAAGCCAGTAAGCACCTTCCAAGGCATTTCCCTGCTCCTCATTCTTATTACTGCCATCAATTAGAGGAATTAGCAACTAGAAAAGAGGTGCATGCCTTCAATCAACAGATTAGAGCAAGTATATGTACTCCCTTCCCCCTTACCATCCTCCTAGTCGAAATCTCACTATCAACTATCATTGTCACCAGAGGGATCTTCGCTCCGGGTCCGAGCATCCCTAATGGGCACCTTATGCTGTTGGTGCACCAGACAAACATTCATCCACAGCTGCTCAGGTTATTGCTGATATCACCAGCAATGCTGAGGTGATCCTTGCCCCTGCTCTCGCCTCAATTGTTGCTACTCCTGACCCTAGACCAGATATAAATGAAATTATAGCAGCAGCTAAGCAACTCAATCTCAAGCAAGCTGCTCATTTGCCTGGACTCATCTCTGAGAACATTTTTGATAGACTAATTCCTCTCGCCATTCTATTGAGCAATGTGCTCATCCTGTTCTTACTCCTAGCTGCTTTTGCCTTGATGAGTATACCTCACAAAGTATAATGAGCTCAAATCACCTAAAGAAAAGGTTATCTCAATGGACATGACCTAGAGGACATATATGATTCTTGCTAAAAGCCATCACACTACTTTAGTAGGTGATGGCAACCAATATCCAGTGTTGCCCTCATAGTTCTAGTATCTTTTTTTTCTTCCATACTATTCTCTGCCTACAGTATATAAGCAGCTTATTTAGTACTTATAGGACATTTGATCTTTCTCCCACGAATAGACTTGTATTTGGACAGTTACCTTGTCTGAAGCCTGAGTATATTCGACATCACATGTATTCACTTTCAAAGTGTTACACTTCCTCTTGTATTTAGTTTTTGTGCACTTGTTTGAAAATGTATTGCATTGCAATTGTGATAGGTTTAACTTATATCTTCTTTTTTTGCTCTTATTTTCAACTTATCTGTGCTTAATTCACTCTTGTTGCAAGGAAAAAAAAACATTTGCATTTTAACCAAATAAGACAATTAAGTAGGTAGTGAGAGTGATAAGTACTAGTAAATCGAATAAGTGTGAAACTGAAAATGAAGCAAAACATTGAAACAAACAAAACAAATGGTATGATGACATTAGTACAAAGTCTCAGCACTGCTAACAAGATGGTAACAGCAACAACTTGAACTTTGAAGCATAGTACAAATGAGCTACTAGTAGTAGTAGTCAATTGTGAGACAGTAGATAGTAACAAGAGCAAAGAACATTACCTCTAGAAAATGTAGGCTCACTCATCTTCAGATTCATTGTCCATGTTCATTCATGTACTATGTCTCTTTATGATCAGATTCTGTGTGAGCTCTAAGTTTTGGAAAATAACTGAGTCTAGTAAGTAGTTGATAGACATGATATAAGATCTAGTGTATGCACCCCAATTGGCATCTGAAAACACCAATAGAACACTACTCTCTTTATCCATTGACAGATTAATGTCTACTGGAGTCTTGTTGTTTTGACTGTTGCCAGTGGTGTCAATATTCCTCAGAAGCATACTTCTTTTGAAAAAGAGTTTGATAGCATGTTCCATCTAAACATAGAGTAAGTCAACTGAGGAGAGGAAAATAATACATGCTGCTGCTGTACCCAGAGCGAGAGTATCCTTTGAGTGTTCAGTCATTGTATCATTCATTCCTGACAGGCTAACAGCACCAGACATGGTATACAAGGGCCTGCACAAGGAGGTCAGACTGGAATGGTTTGGACATTTATCTGTCCTCTGTGATGTCCTCTATGATGTCCCCAAACAAAAAGCAGAGCCTTTTGAACAAGGCTGATGTGAAATCCTAATGGTCCTAATTAGTATTGAGAACTTCCTGCAAGACCATGAAGTTTGCAAGCACAACAAGAGCCACATTACTGATGGTATTGCGTCACTCTAACAACCACTGGAGGGTCTAAAAATGATCAGATTTATATTGTGTACAAAAAAAACATATGAAGGTAATGACAGGCCCATCTGCTGTAATCATGTGTGGAAGAACATTATCTGATAGGGTCCATACTTCATCTAAATCACTAACACAGCTAATGGCAGTAGGAATAAACTTTCTTGTCCACTTGTTTGCTATTTGACAACCCTTTGGAAGATGCTTCATCCTGAATGTAGAATGTACAATTGCTTTGAAAGGAGTAGTGATAGTACAATGAGAATCAGTTCCAGTGGTAATGGATGATTCGGACTTCAGCCAGTTCACCGGAGAGGCCTTGAGCATGGTAATGATGTTGGTCTAATAACTCACAATCAGTAAAACATAGTAGTGAGAAAACAAAACAAACTGTAGATGTCAACTGATGCATGGACACATAATACAGTAACTGGATCCCATCTCAGACAGGTAGCCAAGGGTGACAATGTACCAAGACAGACAGGCCATCCCACATGGGCCCATGGCTGAAATTGTACCAATATATATGGGTGGGCCAAGTGTAGCTGATTGAAAGGGATGGGCTGATGGTAGTGTGTATCCAATTGAAAGGGATGAGCCAAGTGTAGTGTATACCAGATGGAAAGGGATGGGCCGAATATAGTGAATGGAGTATACAATGGAGACGAGTGGGCTGAGGTATTATTAGGTACAATAGAAATGGATGGGCTGAAATATAGTCGGCTGGAAAAAAAAGTGCCAACTGGATCTGGTCATAGGTAGGGCTATAGCACCAGTCCATGCGATGTTACCGGTTGTCTCACTTTGTAAAACAGTCAATATTTGAGTGAGATATTTACACATTAATATTTGATGTTAGAATACTGGGTAGTAAAATACCAGCCAGAATACACTAGCCAACCTGATCTGGTCATAGGTAGGCCTATAGCACCAGATCATGGGATGCCACTGGTTGTCTCACTTTGTAAATCGGTTAAAATTTGAGTGAGATATTTACACATAAATATTTGATGTTAGAATACCGGGTAGTGAAATACCAGTCGGAATATACCAGCCAACCAGATGCGGTCATAGGTAGGCTTGTAGGGCCGGATCATGGGATGCCACCCGGTTGTCTTACTTTGTAAATTAGTCAACATTTGACTGAAATATCTTCACTTCAATATTCTGAGTTACAATACTGGGTAGCAGAATACCAGCTGAGATAAAAAGATAAAGCTGACCTGATCCGGTCATATGTAGGCCTGTAGCACCAGATCATGGGATGCCACCAGTTGTCTTACATTGTGAATTGGTCAACATTTGACTGAGGTATTTTTGCTTTAATATTCTGTGTTACAATACCAGGTAGCAGAATACTGGCTAAGACACAAAAGGCCAACCTGATCCGGTCATAGGCAGGCTTGTAGCACCGGATCATGAGATTCCACCAGTTGTCTAACATTATAAATTGGTCAACATTTGATTGAAATATTTATACATTAATATTTGATGTTCCAATATCAGATAGTGTAATACTGGTGTAGAATGCCAATTCCCGCTGGGCTCAGCAGAAATTGTACCACCTAGACAACAAATATTTAGGTAGGTCATGTTTCAACCTATGAAAGTCTGTCTCAACTCTGTTGTGTTCTCCTAGCTTGTGTCTCTCCTTCTGATGAAAGAGAGAGTCTTGAATATATATATGTGTATGTGTGTAAAGGCTTAGCCAAAAAGTTAGAAATAGCAAAAGTTGTATAAGTCAAAGTATACAATCTTTTGTAAATAGAATAGAATAATGAAAGCTTGTATAATTCAGAGTATACAATACTTCAGAATAGATAAGATGAAATATCTCGAGCTTACTTCAAGAATGTAATGTCTACACTTTTATTCTTACATACTCTCACATGGTTTGAGAGAAGAATAATAAATGTGAAGTTGTATTACATGGGTGAAAACAAGGGGTTTATATACCTTTTGAAAACTCTCTTACTAAGCATGACTCATCACATGGATTGGTAAGAATGTGGCTTACAAACCAGGTGCTGAATCAGCTCCTTACAAATGTATAGTGTAATCTTACAAAACATGACTGAAAGATCATGAGTCATTACATAGATGTATCATGCAGTTTGCTGATAGAAATACCATTTGGCAAGGTGATTTTTATAGACTGTCTCTTGAGGCAAAGCATATTTACATCTTAAAGGACTTGGGTCACTCACACTTTGTAGAGCCCAGCCTAGAATTACTCTTTACAATGTTCAATGCAGTAAATACACAAGTGGTTTAGGCAATTATAGAGATGCGATGAAGGTAAATCAACTCAGCTGTTGGTCAAATGATAAATGCAAGGGAGGGACACAAGAAGCTGATATAGTGATTAGTGCAATGCCTAGTCTGCTATGCTTGTAGGGACATGTGTGTTCGATCCAAGGGAAAGCAAGGAAGATAAATCCACAGTTGTGCAGCGAGCGATGTGCGCGCAAAGCGCAGGAATGCGAAATGCGAGATAGCGAAAATGTGAAATGTAATGAGCAATGGACGAGGGCTCAATGAATGACTACTAAAAGCTGCTATTAAATCCTGAATCTGGCTATGGACATCATGGGGGAACTCCACTAAGGTAAGGAGTGGTATAATGTGGTAAAGGGTGAAAAATGCGGACCTATATATGTGTCTCGCTAAGTGAGCCGAGTGTGAGATAATGTATGTAATAGGGTATGTAAGTCAGGGTCCATGCTCTAATATGGTGTCATATTGAATAAAAGCGAAAATACATACCAGGGAGACTTGCTGGACAGTGGATGGATGCTCCTGGATGATAGGGCAATGAAAGCGCAGGAAAGCGAGTGATGCACAAGCACGAGAATATTGTGTGGGAAAGTGTCGCTCAATATGGAAATAGCTGGGAAAAGGCTAGGGAATGATGCTGCAAGTTGGTACTGCGAATCCAGGTGGTATGCACTGAAGTATAACATATTGCAGACCTGTAATATTGCAAATCTCTACAGCAAGATAATGAAAAAACATAGAGCAAAGCAATAGTGAATGCAATGCAAGTGATAGAGTGCCAATAGTTACTGCATGTAGGCTTATTGGAAGTTGCTATTCCGATGCTCAGAAAATAAATTCTTACTGCAACTACTTCAAAATAGAAGAAAGTGTATATGTGCTCCATATTGATATCTGCCAGACCCATCATTTGTATAATCAGAATCTGCTGATCTCTGTCTTTGGATTTCATCAGTTATCTCCCCTCAAAATCTAGGGCCTGTATCTGGTAAAAGGGTGTAGTCCAAAGCTAAAGTGCATCAGGTCTAATGCAGAATGGCTTGGACATGTGTGGAAATGTGTTGAACATATTTAGAATGATTCAGAACAAGTAACATGTGACACAAATGTGAAAAATGCTGGTTTCAAGCTTAGCATAAGAACCATCATTACAGTGTAACACTCCAGAAAGCACTTTAATAACATGGTTGTATTAGTAATAGAGCATCAGTAGTATAGATAGTGGAAACTTTACTTGGATAGCACAAAGTCTATATTTTTTGAGCATATTATCTTTTTTTTAGCAGTTTTTTATGTTATGCAGCCTGCAAGACATTCTGCAGCTAATTGGAGGTTTACCTAGGATAGGTCTTCAAAGTATCTAGAAGGTCGACATGGAGGATGAGATAAACTGAATATGACCATAGATATTTAATCTCTTGAGTCAATAACATAACTCATTAGGAATACAGATAATGATTTGAGTCAAATTGTTATATTTTATATATTAGCACTTCTTATCCAGAACTTGGACCACTAATCTGATGAGATCTGACTTCCCTATCCAACATCTAGATCCGCTTAGACATTTGTTTGCACTTTCTGTTTATATCCTGTATATAGCTTATTTCCATATTTGATATTTCTTGTTCTTACTTCTGTTATGATTACTAATCCATTAACCTATGCTTCATTTCCGACTCATGCTTAATAAGTGTATTCATTTCCAGTAGACTTTGTATAAACTTTATACATGATCTTGGACCCTTGCTTACTAATCTTTTCATTAGTTACTTAGTATATAAGCTCATATACATGTCCTATAGTAGAGCAGTTCAAATATCAACTTAGATTGGTCTTATTCCTCTTTCTATCATCTGGACTTAAGTTTAGTGGACTCTTGTCATACTCCAAGACTTCAGATTGATTCCAATAGTCTAAACATCTCTAGTTCTACTTTCAGATAGTCTATCTATGTTAGTTTCTAGTCTTCCAGATCTGACTATGATAGTTAGGAGCACTCTAGATTAACTTCCTTTATTGTCTGGACCTATCAGATATATTACCCTCTATCCTTTGAAATATAGGGCAGTACTCAGGAAAGTGGCACAGCACACAAGCTGAGGCTAAGCTCTTTGGATCTACACCTCTGAAAGTTATGACCTTAACACAAATACACTCACTGTTCACTATAATTGACTGATAAAATTAAGATGAAAGGAAAGAACCAGTGTTGAATGCTGTTGAGGCATTTAAACCATTGACTCATGCTAGATTTTGATGCTAGTGGAGAGAAAATCTTTAAGAATGCCTAGTGCTAAATGATGTTCTTAAAATTGACCTAGCTCACTTGTCAGTATGATCCTTTTCCTTCTTCACCTAAAAATACAATTAGTGCAAACCACTACTAACAACATATTCCATACAATCAGAAGCTACCTAACAATATAGCCACTGCCTATACCTTGAATATTACAAATAAGGATATTAAATGATGTGAAGATGTTTGAACTTTGTCTATATACAGTTTGGAGAAACTCAAAAGAGCCAAGTAAGGTCCAACTAATAACAGGATACTAGAAACCACTTCATGTAAGCTTTATAGTGAAGTTTCAATTCATTACAATACACTTACAATGCTATTGATGTCTGTTATGACTGGGATAGTTCTGCTGTTGCCGGTCAAGATAGACCTGTCGGGCGAACAGTTCGTCGGCCTTCCTAATACAAGGAAGGTTTCTGGTGGTTCCTACTGCACGAGCCGCGGCTTCTATGCAGGATCAGCGGCGAGTGGTTTTAGCACTTCTACTGCAATCAAGGGTTTCAGGCTAAGACAGTGAGTGACTGTCTTAGAATCAGAGTTCAGGCTACTGAGGGTGGAGATCTTAGTAGATCAGGTTTCAAGAGGAAAACCCAGTAGATAAAGTTAAAGAATATCTCTATGGTACATGGGGTTTATATAGGTACAAAGGGCGCGGCATAGCCGCGACAAGAAAGGTAACAAAGATAGGAAAAAGAGTACAACCTATCAAGATAGCAAAGATAGATGAAACCGCCATGCGGCGCAAGATAGTATCTATGTTACAATCAGTGAAAGAAGAGAAATACGGACAGCCCGTTTGATAAGAGAATAGCTGAGTCTAGATGCGTCTAGAGTCGGCGGCATGGTTACAAGAAAAGAAAAATGAAATAGGAGTAAATGTTATTGTAACAACGTCCTTCAACTTCTTCTTTACTGAGTTTAACTTAGGTATTTTCTGCTTGTTTCTGTTCAAATTGTCCTAATATATATATATATTACATCTCAGTTCATAGCATGAGCCCTAAATGTATGAAATTTTGTGATATGTGTCAACAGGGCCTCAAACCATTATTCTTTCCTGAATCTTCTTAAGCGCCAATACACAATGCCTAAGTCAAACCTTAACCCTACACTGAAAGTGTCCACTAGTTCAGAAATTCCCTTAGTGCCTACGACACGTGTCTTCGGTGTGACTGATGAAGAAGACGAGTTCTTTGATTGTGAATAGATTAGATTAGATACGATAAGATAAGATATGGTCACGTGATGCTTCTTTAATATTCTATGATGTTCTATAGTATGATTCCCTTTTCCTTTTTATGACTGGCTAGTAGTTGTAGCTCAGTTTCAATCTCAGTTTCAATAGTTGTATATAGGTAGCACATCTTGGTCGATAGTTCTTTAGTTCAAACCTCTTGTATCTACACTGTAGCAATCTAAGACGTCCTTGCTCATCATCCTCTTTGTTGTGATAACCTTAGTCCAAGTCCTAGTTTCTGCCCAGTGTTAATTCATTATCGGGTTGTGACAATTACAAGGACTATAAGAAGAAGACTGACTGCATCAGAATGAACTTGTTACAATCTATTTAAAGGGAAGAGTGAGATGCAGCAGCAGATACACATAATTTTAACTCATTTGTCCATTAGTACAAGTTTTTTTAATTTAAATTCACTTATAGGTCCTTTGAGATGTCAATATGTAAGCATTATTAATGATCGTGCTAATAGAGTCATGGAAAAAAAGCATAATTATTCATGTTCTATAATAGATAGATCCAAAAGGGCTAGGCTTCTATCATATATTATATATTTCCTATCTGGACTCTTCAGATTTCTGAGTTTCCAGACCTCCAGATCTCCATTACCAATCTATTTCTTCTACCATCTTTTGTGACTAAAGTCTTACTAAGTTTCCCTTGGGTCAAACAGATAGACTTTCTCTCTGTTGTACCTCATCCTACTGAAGACCCCAACTTTATATAGGTATCACCCTTTCTATTAGTAGTTAATCTCTGACTCTATTTTCTATGCTCCACAACACTTATATTGACTTCAGAACATAGTTCAATGATATGCTAACTATTCTACACAGTGCTGACTATATACTATAGTGCTTTCCAAGTATTATATAAACCCTGTATCAATTTCCTATAGTTAGTAGTCTAATAATTGTACTTTAATTGAAAGATTAAGAGCTGGCATTGGCCACTGTAAGGTCCAGCTATCCCAATTAATTTGATAAAACTTGAAGCTACATGATAATCATAATGTCTCTATCAAATATATCTATGGTTTTAGCTGCTGACTCAAGTGACAGTCTAGGTCACATGAAGTTACAGGCTGCATAATATTGTGTATGTGAGACATCCATTCACTGATAATATTTTCATTGATTGATATCTCTTTTCTGCAGAAAATCATATATTCATTATCTCTGAGTATTTTGTAAAACTACCTACCCCAACCTACAAGAACATTCTCATGTCCTTACATACATCAATTGATACAGCTTTTACATTAATCAGCATCAACACATCTTCGGACATCTTATTATGCAGATGAATTCTACATTATGAGGAGATGACCAAGGCAGGTCCATTCATACAACTCTGGAATACTAAGGTCATGTTCTTATAATCAGAATATAAGGCCCTTAGCAAATTGTAACATGGTGCAAACCTCAGCAAAGATCTTCAAATAATTATACTCTTATTCATTACTGAGGAGTGCTATCACCTGCCATCAGCAAGAAGACTAGGGACGAGGTAGCCTACTACTGGAAGTGGCTTTGCAAGCATAACAACTCTGTGTTCAGCCCTGTGATGGAATTCAAACACACTTGGTTATCATCCCTTATCATGACAATCAAGGTCTGGCTTCATCATGATGATAAATGATTTAATATACTAAATAGCAATCCTATACATCTTGCAACTGTAGTGTGTTTCAGTTTTGATTTCAATTATAACATTGATTCACCTTGAAAACAGTGTTTAAGTCCCAAAATCAATCAAGATGGTCTTGGTACTGTACAAAGCATTATTAGCTGTGTACTTAGTGATGTGTCCAGTCTGGAGCTGAAGTACTTTCCATATTATCTAGAATATATGATCATGTATCTTCACCCCTACTTGTATTTGTATCATTTGTAGCTAATATACAATCATCTGGATATCTAGAGGATCAATCCATAATAGAATTTATGATATTTATCACACTATACACAAATGATGTAAATAATAACATTGCATGAATGATGTATGAGCTAGGTCATCATGTCATGTATGACATTAGCCCTGGTTCATTATGTTATTTATGTCTATGTGTTTTAATAGTAATTTGTTAGTATAATGCTGCATGCAGCATTATTTAGTGTAGTCAGATTGTCAACTATAGATGAACAAGGTGTGCTATTGCATAAACAGATAAAACATTAATTCCTGGTTGTCCATAAGTACAGCCATTAATATGCAGAATTTGGAGGCACATCTCTATGAGTTACCCATCTCAGATTTGATTGTATCAATGAAGTAAGTTACCATGGCAAATACACCTTAAGGCTCCAGGATTCCATTGATCTTATTCTCATATCTCTCAGCCTGCAGGGGAATTTTTTACTCACTACTGAATTGGTTTGCAGCTTTCTCTTGCCATAATACCGCTGGCACCCTAATTGTAAGTGCAGGCTGAGAAGTTTTCTTTGGCACTCAAGAAACATCACCCTGAACTCAAGGACGTCTGGGGTGATGTCCAGTCCAGCATCCCTATTGTCATACCAGAGAGAGCTGAACAGCCTGCTGGTTTGAAGGTCGTATTACTTCCATTTCAGCAGGAATCATTCTCTCCTTTCTTCTCTGTTTCTGTTTCCTTTCTACTATTCCTTCACTCACTACTATCTATGGTGACACCTGCTATGTTGTTGGTGTTGAAAATGGACACATGAAGACATTGGTGTCAATGTGTTTACATTCGACGCCAATGCTGCCTCAGCTAAAGATGATATCTATTGGATGCAGAGACATCTGCTGGTTGCATCTGATTGATGATGGGGGCAAATCTATGCATTTTCTTCATCTAAACATGTGAGCATGATATCCTTGTACGTATGTACAGGTACAATGGCACCACCATCAACTAATGATTTAACAACCAGGTAGCAAGAAGCCATGAAGCTCTACCAAAAGATGAGAAGATCGTTGTATGACATAAATGTTAGCCATGTTTTGGTTACACTATGAAAAGAACTGGAGCTTATTCAGAGACAATGCTCAGATGATGCTACAAACATAAAAGAATAGATAATCAAAGGTATATGATGATCAGTTCATGGAGACACTGTCAATAACTCCTTTTACTAATGCCTCTTCTTCTATCAAGGTCTTTAACAAGGTCTGGAGCGTCTTTTTGTCCACATGTTCAGGATCAAGCATCCGCAGGGCTTCATTCATCATGTTTGCATGAATGAGGGAAGTATTGATTAACAATATGTTGTGCGATTCATTGAGAGAAATGTCATCGTAACTGAAGGCATTTATGACTTGCTGCACAGCAACTAGGGAGAAGAGTGATTCCAGGATGAAGTTATTATCTCCAATTAATTGGTCATCTGCTTGTGCTGGAGTGAAAGGTGAATTTTCCTGATATTCAATGATAACATCAGGAGTATGATCAGAAGGGGTGTTTGATGATGTTGTTGGTGGTGGATCACTCTGGCTCTGGGTTTCAGGCTATTGTTTTCCGTCCAGAACAATCTTGTCCCCTGTTATTGAAAGTCTGATGCTAATCCAAGAAGATATCCTCCATGTCAATTATTTTATGATAGCATCAAAGCTCCTTATTCAACTAATTAATATGAATCTTTTGGTCATGAACCCAGTGTATCAGATGATTAATATGTCTTATATACTATTCCTGCTTCCTCTTATGTTTGTCCAGTACTCTTTTATAATTATCTCTGAGATTATCTATGATATCCTCCAGCTGAATAATGATGTCCTGCAGCTCTGTTGTGGGTTTACTAAAGAATATGACCTCACTAAGTTGTTATAATGAGGTCAAATTGTCTCACTTGTAATTATTTATATGTAATGACAGTTTGTATTAAATAAATTAATAAATACCACATGTATTGAATCTCATATGTCTTGAAATTGTGATATGTTAGTTCTGATATATTTGTTGGACCAATTATACATCTCATATATTTTATAAAATCAAAAATTTCATCTGTACTTAAGGACATGATTGAGATATCCTCCATCTATCAATTTACTGGACTTTGATGATGTTAGTGACAATTTCACAAGACTAATCAACATGTACATCAGACCGTGGATTCAAATTGCATCTAATAGTATCCATAAATTAATAGCAGAGACATTTAGCTTTTTCTCTACTAACAATAACTATATCTGTAAGGACAATATAATCAAACAACAACAGTTGTAGAAACTAAGAGAGCTCTATGAACCAAGAGTGCAGGAAAAGACATAAAGTGAGACATTAGAAGTTTGAAGACATACAGTACAACCAACTTCTTAACCATCTGAAGAATCATATGTCTATCTTAGGCACTAATGCTGAAAGTAGATAAGGTAAAGAGTATATGCACAGTGAAGATGAGGAATCTATACTGTAAGGAAAGTTGGTGCTAAGCCAAAGAAACACAGATAGTCCTGGATGTGAGTAAAATATTGACCCAAGGGCAGCTGTTTGAGTCAAGGGAAACCTCTCTTATAAAAAGAGAAACACCAAACTACAACTAGGGTAATGAGACAAGATATGCACAAAGTGTGATGTGAGAAATGATATGCAGACACGCAAGTGTGAAAGGTGAAGTGCAAAGTATGCAACACGAAGGTAGTGCATATGAGCGAGAGCAAAATATAAAAGAGTGAGATAGATTAAGGAGAGAGGAGGTGAGACAACTGTTATCACTCTAACTAAGGTTGGCTGATGATAAGGCAAAGGGCGGACAACTAGCACACAAGACTTAGATAGTCGCTGCAATTAACAAGTAAATTCTTCTATAGCTAAGTACACAGAGAAAGTGGGCAGAAAATCGACCCAGAACATAAGTAATAGAGGGGTATAAGTAAAATAACTAAGCACCACTAGGTGCACAGGTCTGATGTAACGAGCCGAACAGGCTATAAATAGTACATGAAGTAGGTAATAGGGTCTCGGCTTCATGCACAGCCGAGCATTAGTGATGGAAAACAATTAAGCAGAATGGAAATATGATGGGAAAAATGCACCAATGGATTTTCAAGGACATGGGAAGGATGGGCAGACAGGTGTGTGATTGATGCGAGTATGGATGCATAAAGCGCGCGAATACAGGAGGCCATGCATGAAACCTGCAAAGTAAATTATGGGTGCTAATGCGCAAGACGTATCCTATGGATTAGAGCTGGAGTTTGTAGGGAATGTGAAAGAATTAGGAGGAAAGTGCCTGTAGGGATGTGAGTCTCTACAATGACATGGAACAAAAATGCCTATGAAGGCTGAATGAACTATGTTTATGTTAGAATAGATGTGATTTGATTTATGGCAAGAATTATAGTATTAAATGTCACAAGCCTTAAACACCATCAGGCTAGGTTTGAAAGGAAGGATGAGAAGTATGAACAAAGGGAATGGTTGAAATCAGGAAGAAGGGTGTTTGGAAAGTAGTAAAGCTGTGCTAGTGCTTATTGGATAAGACAGAGGAGGTGCTTCTTCATTCATTAGAGTAGTAGTAATTGTAGTCTCAAGTATGCTGCATTTTCTTAGCTCAAATAATGCATATGGTTATACTCTCATAGTTGATCTACACTTGTTTGATGTACTTAGAACATAGTTAGTATGTAATAAAATACCAAAAGTATGTATTTTTTATTATTCTTATTTCTCCACAATCTATAATTAGCACAGCCTTTAAATTAGACCTTTCCTTCAGACAATGTTTGTAGTACTTTAATCCATTTTGAAAAGCTTTATTCATCAGACAATACTACAATCTTTGTTTGTAGGTCCACTGGAGTCCAATTTAAATCTAACATCAGGGACTTGGTCAGTGACAGTCTATAGGTCTCATATCCAATCTCTAACTCTTTTGGCAGGTTTTCTTATTTTCATATACAATGTTTGAGTATATATTGAGAATAGGTTAGTTATGATATTTATAATCATGTTATTCTTTACACCTTCTGTACAACATTTTATTGTAGATAATGAAGATCTTGCAACCATTAATAGTGACTGGAATACAATATAATTGTTGAATGTACTTAAATGTCTGTTATATATTGTATATCTTCTATCCAAACCCTCTAAATTTCTAAATCTCCAAACCTCTAGATCTCCATTACCAGCCTATTTCTTCCACTATCTTTCCTGTCTGAAGTCTTGCTAAGTTTTTCTCATGTTAAACAGATAGACAGAAAGTCTATCATACTTTGTCCTATTAAAGATCCCAATCTCCAAATCTCTTTCATTGACCTCTGGTGAAGGTTCAACAATTCAGATGGTTAGTCTGAATAATGTTGGGTCTTGCTGCCTAGCTATGTTGTCTAGAAGACAGTGTTTGACCCTAAAGGGTTTCTGTACTAAGCTCAAAGCTCAGAGAGGGAGAAAACTACAAAGACTCAAACTCAAGGTGCTGGAAACTGGTGAAGAGGTAACTTGATTATGTAAGCTACAAAATAGCAAACATAAGGTAAAGACAGTATCTACAAGCCTAGTTAGGAATGAGTCTCTACACCGGATCCCTGTGGCTAGTCTGTATCATCTATCTGTTTACCTTAACCTACAATTTCCTGTAGTTACATCTTCAAATTTTCCTTTCCTCATATTGTCATATTACTTAAGGGTCTTATATGAATGTTGTACATAATGATAATACTATTATAAATGGTAAAGACTTCTTGCTAGTCCTTAAATACATGGTCTCCAACTTTTCTAGTTTTTATAGGAGGTAATGTGATAAGTTCTTGGGAGGGTTTAGTTTGTTGTCCTCTTCTTATTTATCATGAGGTAAACTGTATTCTGAATAATGAATATAACAGATATGTTGCACCCTAGTAGGTCGTGTTTCAATTTATGAAAGTCTGTTTTAACTTTGTCATGTTTTTCTACTTTGTACAAGAATGCACCTCACACACGCAAGAACATATGACACATGACATTGCCCACTCAATGGATCCTGTCCTGGTACATAAGCAAAGGGTGGTTGTGTGTTCTTTCAAACTTTGTTAGTTGTCAATATATCAGTATGAAGACCATACAAAGACTGCTTGTTTTGTGAAATAGATTGTGCACAAAAACAATGATTGAATTGCTGATGGGACCATAGATATTTCTATACTATGTAGCTATTCAAATTGAGTGCATGCTAGTACCAGAACAAAAACCAAACAAGTACCTATAGTATTGAACTAAAAACTTCTTGAATGATTGGCAAACCTCTGCGCTGCCATTCTATGTTAGAATCTTTTCACATTTGATGCGCAATTGCATCACACCGCATCTGTGCTTGAACACATGCTTCTTCATTAGGAGGACCTTCAGCAAGCACACCAGTATCATGTGCTCCTGGATTGAGATTGTGATTGTGATAGTCTTCTAGATTATTTGGATTGTGAACACATGTACAAAGCACAATGCTGGAGGAATTTGAGCCTACACTTCCATTGTATAGTTGGGTGGAAAAAGGAGAATCTTGAATCAGCTTTTGAAGACATCAAATATACACTTGACAACATTGTGAAGCATAGTATGTCATAAATTGAACAGTTCTTTGTGGTTACAGGGCCTTTAAAACAAAATTAGTACACAGTAGATCATCAGATAACTGTTGGCATGATATACACTAAATTTGCCTGGCCCCATTCAGCCAAATGATAGTGCACTCCACAATAGGAGACCAGAAGTTTGTTACATGAGGCAAATCTAGCATTGGCAAGATGTTATTTGCCAACAGGGATCTTAAGATCTGTAATGTAAGCAGTGTGATAAACATATGCATCTGCCACTGATCCCTCCCAACCACTTAACAAGTAGTAGAAAAACATATCAAATGAGCAAGCCACAAGACAATTTTGCATCAAAGTGCCTTTATAGTTGCAAGCTCCTTGATACTATTTGGCTAATGGGTGACAAGTGATATATGTGCTGCCAATAATGGCATTCAAGGTGTTTTCCTGAAATCTCGCTAAGCTTGGTAAGCTCAAAAAACATTACCTAAAGTAGTTGCCAGCATGTGCTAAGATTTAGATTAAGTCAAGTACGGTGCACCCAGTATGTCATTGGAGTGCGAAATGCAATGCCTGCACTACAACCATGACTTCATCGGTCTGCACACCTGCAGACCCTCTCTCAGAACCTCATTATATCGCCTCATCAGGATAGGAGGAAGTGGATGGAACTGCCAGGCCGCTGCTAGTCATGGAAAGGCAAGACAAGGAAGGGGAGGGACCAATACCCATGACTCATCACCCACCACCATTTCCTGACAGAGTGTCCCTTCGCACACCAACAAACTTGTCGAATTCCTTACCTGAGCATCCAGCTGATTGTGCAATTCTATTTGCATCCAAAAGCAAGAAATCCTCCAATCATCATGGCACCGAGTTGGGTCAGTGCATCAGGCAAGGATAAGGGGGAGATATATGGTGTAATTGCAAAGCTGGTCTTCCAAAATGACTCTGTGTACTCGAGCTTGTACGCTGCCAACCCTATCAAGTTCCATGACTCTGTGGCCTATTGCATTACATGGTAAGTGTCCCTGGCTATCTATTGTACTTTGTGTGGATGATGTGAAGTCTGTGGAATAAATTCCATGATGTTCGTGATGGGTTTGAGGCTACAGGGGCGGGCATTATGCCCATTGATTCAGAAACATCTGAAAACTTACATTGTGAGTGTCCTGCTTACATTGGAGAGGGCATCACTGATGAAGGACGACGGACTCAGACCAAGCAGCAAACGAGCAGAATGAGAATGCAATGGTGAAGACTGACTACTACATGCACAGACTATATGTATGTGGGTGCCTCGAGGCCCTGGCACCCTCACAAGATCCCTAGGAGCCTGAACCTCCCTACTACAATGTCAGAACTTTTTTCATGGCATTTTGATGCCTTAATGGCATGATTCTATTGTGATAAAACAGTCAGCATTTTGATGGTCATCACCATCACATCATGACACATATTTCCATACTTGTCGAAATAATAGGTCCAAACTTCAAAATGAGTATTTGTAAGCATGGTGTGATCAGTCCATTTGCATTTTGGCAGGCATTTCTGTAGCATCAAGATGCACTTTGAAATGAGCTTTGTGAAATTTTGATGTCACCTCAATGGTTATTCTGACTATATTATAATACTCATTAGGCTGATCTAGATGGATACTCAAATCATTTCGAATGAGAGCGTGAAACAATTAAAATGCATTGTGTCGATATTTGTATTTACAGTCATAATGATAGGTAGAGTGACTATGCCTGACATTGTAACAACTACCTCATCACCAAATCAGAGCCTGTGGATTCAGAAGCAATGTGAGGCAGGCCACAGCAGCATGTACTCATCCCAGATGTGGCGCAAGATGGAGGCCAGTAATAACAACATGATACCTAATAATGACACAATATTGAGTGATGGGCAGGCTACCAAAAGGCATAAAGCTCACCAGTCACATTCTGGAAGACACCATAACACCAGTGCTGTAGTAATGTAGTAACTGTACAAAATGTTGATCAATGATGACGCGAATTGATTTAAACTAATAATAAAGGATGCTTACCACTATCAAAAATCAACGCTCGCAGTTCACATCTCATTGTCAATGGCCACCTCAATAGCAAAATGCATCTGCCTAATTAAATGACAGTGTGAGATTAGCACCAGTGGTGCATGAAAGGAGGCAAGCAAGTTGTCATTAAGTGGCTGAGATGATGGGTTGTCGAGTCAGAGAATATGCAGATTCGGGATTCGAATTCAGACGATGAATTCAAACACAGATGGCAAATGTCAAAACCTTAATATCAGCATAGAACAATGAACACAGACAACGAGGGAAATATGAATATCTAAGTCTTGCGGGAAGAGCAGCAAGGAGGCGCATCTGAATCTAAAGTCTTGCTCTTTCTTTGACCCCTTTTCCGACCCTTCACCTCAGAAGAAATGGACTCTCCACCGGTATTTTGCGGTACTATAGTGACTGGGATGTTAGTAATCTGAACAGGGGGGGATATAGGAAGAGAAACAGGAGCAGCGGATGGTCCAGAAAATGCATGTTGGTCCACAGTAAGCTGGGATAATGTATTCACAACAGTTTGGGTGAGGTTCAGGGCAGGTGTAACAACAACCACTGCTGGTACAGGAATATGAGTTGCAGAATGGCCCGGGGCAATTGGAGCTGCCATGTGATTGTCATTGTCTAAGCATGCCATGACACAATCTAGTGAATCACTGAGATCCATGCGAGCATCAATGACATCTTGGCTGACGTCACGCGATGCCACATCAATGTCTTCAAATATGTAGTTGTTGAGATTTTTGATGATTCCTTGAACATGTGAATGGCTTCATTGAACAACGAAAAATCTCTTCACTGTTCAGAAGACAGTTGAGTAGGAGATCGAGGAAATAGTCCCAGTGCCTGATCTGGGAAACTGTTGATCAGGAGACAGGATGAAAATGAGCTATTGAGAGACATCATTTAGTGGCTGATTTGTATAGACCGAATGTTCAGAACATACTGCAGTCACTCCACATGTGATTAAATCAGGTGTAGAACCTTTCAGTTTCCATAGCTTTAAGTAAGGGTTCGGGCCTCTGCTACATCCGGGCTTGGAATATATTGACATTTTCCCACCAATTGTGATCTTGATGAACTATAGGTAAAGATGAGGAAGTGTCTCGGGAAGTGTGCGGGATCATACCTTTGCGATTACAAGCTAGTTTCCGAACACCTTCTTGGCATTGACCTTTAGATTAGGGTAGATGATGGGCGCATCGAGTACATTGAAATCCTTTCCCTTCTCTGCTACCCATTCAATTGCATCCACCATCTGCTCATCAGCTGTGCAATCAAACAATGCAGCAAAATTTTGAGAAGGCATCTCAAGGATACTCCCGGCTACAGACCGCAATGTATAGATGTGTGAGGAGCATACTCGCTGCATTCCGCTGCAAAACTAATACAGACCAGTCAGACCTGAGTTGAATAGATCAAGATGAAATGGATCTTGTTTATGAAATGCATGGTTGGCATGTGAGGGTGCAGTGTATGGTCAATACACCCATAGAGCTCTGTGATAAGCACAGCCTTTTCTACCGATGTCTTAGCATAATGAGACAGACTTCATATGTCGATGGGAGGATCAGGACAGGGTAATTTTAAGATCAAATTGTCAAGCATAAACATCTCAACAGTGAGTGCATACTTCTTTCTCCAAGTCCATAAAGACCTTTTCCAAGGCTGATATATCAGAATTGCCAGTTGTAGCTGTGGATGTCATTGAAGTCGGGACTGATGACACTGAAGATGCATTGGATACCAGCACATGGCCATGGACACCTTTGCGAGAACATCGTGGCTGCTGTGACTGGAGGACATGGTTTGTCACATTTAGGTGTGCATTACAATTCTCCAACTGACCCTTTTGAAGCTGAAGGTACTGAATATACTGACATTGACAATCAGCACAAGCAAAACCATGAAGAAACCTTGAATGTACCTTCCAGTAATGTTCAAGAGTGGCACCCTCACTTGGCGGGGCAACAGCTTTGTCTTCATCCTCTGAATTGGATGGGAGAGAATTCCCTGACAAGGATTCTGAGGCAGATGGAGAGTCATAATTGGAGTCTGGCATACTCTTAGTGAGCGATATTATGTAGAACTGACTCGAAGAACAAAACCTGCAGTAGTAGCAGTGGGGATATTCACAGTGGGGACTTGGAGAGTCGATGGGATGCACTTGAGAATTTAAAGGTTCGGGAACTCCGAGTCAACAAACCGAAATACATAATGACATGAGATGCTTGAGATGTACTGACAAGCTTGTGTAATATGACAGCCTTCAGTTGATATAACATCCATGTGTTAGGCTGTGAGTTCTGAATCAGGGTGCTTGTTATTACTTCATCGTGAACTAAGGAATCAATGGTTTTGATTAAACATACTAATTATTCATCCAGTGATGTGTTCGACAACCTGTGATTCTATCCGAGTCTGTTAATGAATCATTGGCAGTGCAGTGTGGTGATGGCGAGGCGAAAAAACCCTTGATGGACTTGACTTGTTATTAATAATTGTCATTGGTCCCATTATGATGTCGTTGCTCACCCCAAGCCTCAAGGGCTGTTTTCTTAGCCTGAACGGTAGACTGATTCAGAGGAGCACGTCAGTAAAGTGTATCATGGATGAGACAAACTGACATCATGGTATCGGTAATATATGTTACTGTACAGTAACCAAAAAACAACTATTACAGTGTAATAGTGTATGACGTGGATTCAGCATATGCAAGACAGAATCACAGAATACAAATGTGAGAACAAGTAAAACACAAGCGAGGTATGAGGCAACGAATCTACCTACCAACAATGAGAACAGTCAGGATATATGTATGATCATTATGTGTCAGCATCATGTCGAGTAATGATCCTAACCTATTTGGCCCTGCCCTTGCCCTTGCCAGACCTCTTTCCACCAGCCTTGGACTTAGACTTAGACTTGGACTTGCCATCATCATGTTGCGCATTGTCACATGCACTGGAAGCTACACTAGGTTGTGCAGAGTTGCCACTGACTGTAACAGTAGCATCGGGATTGGTGCAAGGGCGAGTGTTCGACGAGGATGGTTCATTGCCAGGTCCAGGGGAATCTGGGTGCTCTGCACGCTTAACACCCCTGGCAGACTTTGTGTACCATGCCAGGTAATGAGAGTGGGCAGTAACTCCTGATGCTGCCATCAATGAGTGGAACATACGATCCCAAGCAAAAGGGAAGGTGATGGGAGAACTTTCTAAAGGTTTGATGTTGCATGTTGGGTTTACCTCCTGGCAGAGGGAGCCCAGCTGGATTTTCACCAAGCTTGCACCCTGCTTGATCATAGCGTTTACGGTGTCCATGTGTGGGTCAGGGTATAGTCTCTGTAAACATCAGTTAGTGCTGAACCGAGACACTGAAGAAACACTTACACCGTGTGCCGTGCATGGCCCGGTCGTGAGGCTGATGTTGATGGGTTTATCTCCTCTTACCCATACCCAGATCTCCACATTCTGGAGACTCAACCACTGGTGATCGGCGATGGTGATGGGGTCTGTGGGCTTCAAATCTGGGGATTGAAGCTCGATGAAGGGGCCGAGCTCGCAAGCCGGTGTTTCTTGCAATAGTGTATTCCATGCAGTAGATGACTTTTGAGGTGATTGGTACACTTTGGTTTCTTTAATGAGGGCCACAATGACCATGAGGACTTCCGGCTTGGCAAGAATTTGCTTCCGGAGTTTTGTCATCAATGGATCTGTGTGCTGAGAGAAGGCAGATTCTATGATAACAGGGATAACCTCTTTGAGAGGTCTGCGAGGATTCCCTACAACTAAAGACATTGTCATATCCAGAACAGTGGAGAGCTCCTCCGTTTTCACTTGGGCATTCATGAATACAATTGCATCCACGAGGGCACGGTTAAACACCAGAGACTCTAGGAAGCTGTCAAACCACATCTTGAACACCATGCATGGGACTTCGTATATACGGCTCAGCATTTCCACAAGAAGATGGCAGTTGATATAATTATAAGTGAATCTATAGATGATCAACCATTGTGATAGAGACATTGAACCATCACACTAAAACCTTACCTTGGTTTCTGTTCAGTTGTTCAGATTTGTTCCATGATGGTTGTTATTGCCTCGAAATCTTCGGCGTGAATATCTGGGAACTCCTGATTACATGCTCAGGTCCTTGCGCTGTCCATCAATCTTATCTAAACATACTTCGACTTCTTTCTCAGAGTTTGCAATAAACTTGAGCACTGCCTTGCATCGACCTTGAAGGTAAAGTAGAATGTCAGTTTCGATTGATTTAGTTGGGTCGCTTACAATACCTATTATAGGTAAGTCTCTATTAGCTGTTTGGTGCAGAAGGTAATCTGAATAATAATCCACTAGGGATGGGATGCTAGCAGATGTAGAGGGGGTTGTTGCAGGAGCAAGAATGTTTCTGTTTCCCTGGATTTCTGGTGATGCTGCCTTGATTCTGTGCTGGGCCACAAGGCTGCCCTTTGCTGCTGGTTCTTGCCTTCTTTTGTCACTGAATGGTGATGCTGGTGATGATATTCCCTTTGTCTGTGGGTTCAAAATCTTGAGCTTAATGCTCTGTTTGGACTCCTTGCAAGAGGAATGACTTCGACCAATATTTCTGCTGAGCACTGAATCAACTGACAGCTGTAGTTAGTATGATGTTACAAGGAGGAAGGTCAAGGACTTTGCCACCACAAGGCCTCATGGCTTATGGAGTCGTTGATCTTGTTTATCATTATTACTAAGCTGATTTTCAAAGATTTGTATGACAAGCTTAAGTGTTATCTTGGATCAAGCATTTGAACCATACTAGCCTTGTATTTCATATCTGTGCCATACTTTTGTTGTAGGTTTAAATATGCCAAAGGACTTACAATGTTCATCAGAAGAAGTTTTGTGTGACATATGTGGTGTTATGATTCAAGTTTGTGGGCTAGTCTCACATACTAAGAAGTGCAAAAAGCAGGAAAGGTTAAGGATAGAGCAGATCGAGCTCACAGAGATCCTTCAGGAAAGTTCAAAGACACGTAAGTACTACTTCAAAATATGTCACACTTGAATCATGATATTCATCTGTGCTGCAGATCATTGCAAAAAGTCTTGCCAACCTAACAAGCCTGTGCCAGGTAAGCTCACCATAACTTCAATGATCTCATGTTGACTTTTAAAATGGTTGACAGTCGATTCAATTTCAATCTGGACCGTACATGAAGGACCACCTACTGCTGGTGGGAACAATGTCTCGGAGGACATCAGTATGTTCCCAGATTATTGCTAAGTTTGTGAGTCTCTGACATTTGTACACCAGGAATGCATGGAACATCACTCCAGAATCACCAATCAGCGGATTTCAATCCAGGGTCCCCTTACTTTCAACAAGATGATGCCGGTTTTGATCCCACTGCCCTTGACCTCGATGAGGCAGAACTGCAACCTCAAAAAGATGATATTAAAGTGGAATATCACCCACACAGTAAGATACCATCAATCATTCATCATTTTGCGGACTTTTCCCACTACCATTCTATGGAAGATTCTGTGCCTCATAGCACTTCTCCATGGGAGCCATTCCGAACACAGCTAGACTTTGAGGTTGCAGCAATAGCACTTGAGGCAGCCATGACTAAGGACCAAACCAACCAGCTCTTTTCCCTCATGCGCTGCTCTGCATGTGGTAATGAGGCTTTCACATTGCAAAGTCACAATGAAGTCCATTTATTTTGGGAAATGGCTTCTGAACGGTTTACACCAGTGAGTCTTCTCTAGCAACACATATGATCAGGCTCGTCAACATCATATCTACAAGCACAGTTTCAGAGCAGTGTAGTATCTGTGACATACCGAAAAGAAGTCCACAATTTTAACATGTACTGCTGACCCCTTTGGGACTGGGTGCTCGACCTGCTGTGAGACAGCTGCTTCACAAAGCATTTTGTGTTTGATGCCCAACGTTTGTACAAGTACAATGGAAGATGCTTCACAAGCTTCTTTGATGAGCCCTGGACTGCCAACACATTTTGGGATGCTCAAGTATGTATCTACCTTCACTCTTAGTCTGTCATTAATAGATTGTAATTCATTTGTTGTATCAGTTGCGACTTCACCAGATGCTCAGCCGCTCACATTCATTCTTTACACCAATAAAAGCAAGTTGACATCCTTTGGAACTCAAAAGGGCTATCCGATCATAGCACAAATTGTGAATTTGCCTGTTGAAATTCTGAATGGTGTTGGTGTGGCTGGTGGTCGTGTCATGGGTTGGCTGCCAATTGTAAGTATCCATGAGTCTCCCACTTGTTCGACCTTAGACATTCAATTACGGACGATTTCATTAGGTCAATGAAGATCAAAAGGATAGCGGAAAAGCAAGTTTTGTGAATTTCAAGAATGTGGTTTGGCATGAGTCATTTATGCAGCTCATCGAGTCAGTCATACAGCACTCAAATACTGGTTATTGGCTTCGACTGTGGGGACCTAATATGATGCCTTCTTTGGCCAATAATCTTGATTCTCAGTGCTGACTATGAGGAACAGTGAGTACCACATGTTTCATTGCATTGCTTTAATGATGTCTCTCGTAGATGCATCATGGCCTTGATTCATGGATTGAAAGGCAAATTCCCTTGTCCAGTTTGCCTGGTCCCTCAAGATATGCAGCCCATCCACACAGAAGAACTAAGACTATGCACAAGTGCTGGGTCTCAACAAGTGCTGAAAACTGCAAGATTAGCCAAAACAAAAAGGCCAGAGAGGATCACCTAAAAGCATTCTCACTGCGTGATGTTGAAGTAAGTTAGTTTTTCAACTTGCGAATTTATTACTTCCATCAAGCCCTACAGAATATTTTTTGGAGGGTTCCTTATTGCGATATCCATCGCACACTCTCGTGGGATCGAATGCACACTAATAATGGCAGATTGTGGAGTGACCATCTGTGGGTGGAGCTTCAGTTTTGGATCACGGATTTAGGTCAGAATGCGGCCGTACAGATTGATTCAAAGTTAGTCTTGTTATTCACTTTGCTACACTTAATAAGTTGGTTTTGAATTTAGCTTTGACACCTTCCAAAGATGGCCTGACTTGAAGCACTTCTCGCACATCATGAAAATCGACTTTACAGATAATGCAACCCACAAAGATATATCAAAGGTATGTAAGTCCTCCAGAATTTCACATTTCGTGTTCCTAAGGCCACATCAGTTGGTAGTATTTGCAGTGCAGAACATCCTTACATGGGCTGAAAGCAAACTCGGCTACCTGCTCTTATGATGCATACGCCGCTTTGTTGTATTCAACATGTATGTGGCACTGGAGGTTCACACAGAGGATACCATTACTGCCAGAAGAGAAGCTTTGTGTGAATTCTCAATGCTGCTGGACGTGAGTTCTCATTCTCAATAATATTTTCTGGCTGATGTGTTTAATTGATGATTCATTACTAGGAATATATCGCAAAATCAGATCCAGAAACTGGGAAGAATTGGAACTTTCCAAAAAAGCATTCAAATGCACATGTGTTCAACGACATCCTGGCGAAGGGCGCCACTTGAAACTACAACACAAAGCCTAATGAAAGGATGCATGGGCCATTGCGTGCTATCTACCTCTGGTGGACAAATTTCAAAAATGTTGCTACCCAGGTCTGTAGACAAAATTTTGCTCAATGCTATGATTCGCTGATCTGAATCATAGATCCTTCGATATGACCACTGGCTGCTGACATCAACATCAATGCATTCTGAGGTTGATGACCTGGACCAGTTCACACACCAGAACACCATTGACCCTGAGGCAGGTGAAGACATCAAAGAAGTCGCAACTCATACATATTTGGGCACGAAGCAAGGCAACCAGTCTTTTTCACAGATCGAGCAGGAGCATGCAGCAGACATCGCTTTTTCTGGGTTTTGAATGAGGTTGAACAACTTCTTGAACAAGTTCCTGCCTCAATATGGAATTCCCTTTCCAGATGGGAGGCGCGTACATTTTTGGGCTGATGACCAGGTAATAATCTAGCTGGGCCATTTTACTTAAACAATGTGATTTACTGAGATCCTTTTTGCAGGTTACGGTATTTCAATACTTGCATGTGAATTATGAATCTATGGTCGACTGGCGTCTAAAATGAGACTTACTTTGATGCAACCCATCTTTCTTTGGATGGCCCAGGTATGATTGTATCATAGTGAAGACCCAAGACCAGCCATTTTTTGCGTGTCTCATTTACATGTTTTGCTGTTCAATCGGCGAGATTGTCCTTTCCCTTGCCCTCATTCATCTGTATAACGTTGCCATCGGCCATTGCCGCAGGCAAGATATAGATTTGGGGTTATATCGTGTGCAAGCCAAACCTTGCATGTCTTCAAAACTCATTTCCATTGAGTCCATTATTCGAGGTGCTATGCTTGCCAGTGACCCTGCTACAGCTGGGGATTATTTTGTTGTGGACACCATTGATACTGACATCTTCCTCCAAATGAAATCATTACAAGCCCATTTTATTAACTAGATATGCTCGACATACGCTCTGTGACTCAGGGATTGCTATCATAATGATTTCAAACTCAGCTAAGGCACATCGAAATCTGATTGTGATCACAATGACAATGCACAATCGGCTGCATTAAAACATGTCAGCATTTTGATGTTGGTAGGGAATTTCCGACAAACATCTCATTAATACTACTAATAAAATTTGCAGGTAAAGTTGAGAACAAATTCCCCTGGTATAACGACCTCTACAAGATTTGGGGTGCTGAAGATGAGGAATCTAAACTGTGAGGAAAGTCAGTGCTAATCTAAGCAAACACAGATAGTCCCGGGCACGAGTGAAATCATTGTCCCAAGGGCAGCTAACTGAGTAAAGGGAAACCTCTCTTTGTAAAAAGAGGGACACCAAACAACTAATAAAGTACTAAGGCTAAGTAACATGCAAAGTGTGAGGTGGGAATGATGTGATGTGCGAAAGGCGAGTGCGCAAGTGCAAAAGGCAAAGGACAAGGTGCACAACATGAAGGTAGCACGCGCGAGCGAGAGAAATAAAGGAAAGACGAAGCGAGAACTAGTGTTAACACCCCAACTAAGGTTGGCTGATGCTAAGACTAAGATGGAGAACCAAAGCACACAACTTTAGATAGTCACTTGCAAACAACAAGTAAAATTCCTAGTATCTAGAGACACAGAGAAAGTGGGTGGAAAATCGACCCTGAAAATAGAGTAAAGGGATAGTATATGTAAAGGTAGCTAAGCGCCGCTAGGCATGCAGGTCCGATGTAGCGAGCCAAGTAAGCTAAATATAGTACGCAAGATAGGTAATAGGGTCTCGGCTACGCACATAGTGCTAGGCCGAGGATTAGCGATGGAGATAATTAGTCAAAATGGGAATATATTGAGAAAACGCACCAATGATCATCTGTATGCGGACGATGCTAACATGGATGTGCAGTGTGCGCGAAGTGCAAGTGGCTCTGTGCAGAATCTGCAAAGTAAAATATATGAAGTGCTACTGCGCAAGATGTATCCTTGGGATTAGAGCTGGAGTGTGTAGGGAAAGTGGGAGAAGTGTCTGTGGAGACGCAAGGCTCTACAACAGTGGGAGTGTGGATATGATAGTACGTGATGAGCGATCCTCTGCACGCTATTTGTCTTGCATGTGCTCAGGTTCATCTTCCTTGGGTTCTATAGTTTCATTAGCCTCTAATACTTTCGTTGTCTATTCCAATCATTTTTGTGATGGATATGCAATCTTTGCGACACAGATAGTATGGTATCATGCAAAATGTGGCAAAGCGAAGCTTTGATATTGTGCCATCTGGCCCAGTGAGCATATAGGAATCTCCTTTTGTGTGCTGCACAACCATCGTTGGTCCGAGATAGCGCAGCTTGGTTTTCTTGCTGAGTTCATACTCAACTTTGGAGTTGTGGACAAGAACTAGCATGCTGGGTTCGAAGTCATACAATTTGATAGATGCATAGAAGTGTTTCTCAAAATTGTGGACAGACTTGAATCGCACTTTGACTACCTGATCTTTGATTGTTGTAGAGACTCATTCCTGACTAGGCTTGTAGATACTGTCTTTACCTTATGTTTGCTATTTTGTAGCTTACATAATCAAGTTACCTCTTCACCAGTTTCCAGCACCTTGAGTTTGAGTCTTTGTAGTTCCCTCTCTCTCTGAGCTTTGAGCTTAGTACAGAAACCCTTTAGGGTTGAACACTGTCTTCTAGACAATGTAGCTAGGCAGCAAGACCCAACATTGTTCAGACTAACCATCTGAATTGTTGAACCTTCATTGTGTCAAGATTGGTGTAGAAAGCTGATTCCTACTGGGCTCAGCAGAAATTGTACTACCTAGACAACAAATATTTAGGTAGATCTTTAGCATGGCCTAGTCTGCTATACTTGCAGAGCAAGTGCGTTCGATCCTAAAGGGATTGCTAATTGGTATTAGTAGTAAAAATGTGTCAGTAATGCAAATAACAAAATGTCCGATGGTTCGAAACAATGTCCGAAGGTACTTATCCAATGTCCGAAGCCAAAGTGCGATGTCCAAGATTTCGGACTTTCGGATTTCACGATAATAGGTCAGAAACTTTATAACGAGTGTCGGATTGTGAGCGGTATGCGCAAGTATAACGAGTGACGGAGTATAACAGTGAACGAATGGTAATATTTCGCAATGCAACTAAGAACTATGAGAATATTCTGGGTGATCCACAGAGTCGGGAAACGGCTCCTAACTACTGGATGATGATTGCTACGGGTCACTACAGAGTATTTAAGTAAGTACGTAGAAATTCAGAAAACTACAGGCGAAGATAGTAGTGATATATTTTGGGTCCGATGTCCTATGTAATAAGACACGAGGTGCTGCGGACATGTAATAACACGGTACAAATGTCAGAAAATGTGCACGGAAATAACTATGCACCTAGTGAGGCTAGTTCAGATGGACAGGACATGGGATGGACAAGTGCGCGTGAAGTGCGATCGGCCGATGTGATGTCCGAAGGTCCGATGCACCGGATCCGATATGGAGTGGCTCGGACATGTGCAAAGGTGCGTCGGACATGTGCGCATATGTTTCGGGTGTTAACGTGAGTATGGAAATACATGGTTTTGAGCCCAACACTGCGACCATCGCTACATCGGCTTTGCATTTCTGTAATTGGTGCGCACGCCATGCTATAAGGTCAGCGGTGGTAAATGCACCTCGGCTCGGCAAAGGAGCGAGAAAGGTAGCTTCAGCTAGGTCAAACAGAAAAATGGGCTCAATGCCATGAACCATGAAATAGGGCAATAGGCCTGTCGTGCGATGAATAGTAACGTGCTTGGCCCAGAAAACAGAATGAACCACTTGGTACCATCGCGAGTCGTCACCATTGCAACTTTTGATGATGTCCTCCCAGACATCTCGGTGTTGTCTTTCAACTATACCATTTGCCTGCAAGATGTGAATCGGGTGAATCCCGTATTTGCGCGCGAGTTCATCTACTGCGAGTCTATCCATGGGGCCATTGTCAGTCATGATCTCAGTGATTGGACCCCATCTGCAAAGGAGTTCTTTGAAAATAAAAGTGGTTAGTGTTTTGGTATTCTCTTTGCACAATATGCACCATTCCGGATACGATGTTAGCGTGCAGTGCGCTTGCACAAGATACTCGAATCCATCTGCTCTGGGCATCTTCATCGTGTCAATGTGCACTTTGCAAAACAAACCTCCTGGTATCGGAACCGTCAGGCGGGATATGCAACTTTCACATCTGGCGAACCTGACAATCATGGTATGTTCGCGCATACCACTTAATGTCTTCAATGATGTGCAGCCACCAAAAGTGTAGTAGGAACTGCACACACGTGGTGTAGACGCCTTTATGACCGAGGTCATTGTGCACTTCCTTAAGAAGGTGATATTGCTTGCGCGGCGGCGCTACTAGCTGGTGCTTTCCATGGGATTCTCTTTGCCAGAGGTTGCCCTCGAGAACAAAGAAATGCACGGCGTAGTTGACGACACTGCAAATTTGTGATCTGAAAGGTCAGTGGGTCTTTCGCGCGAAATATGAAACTCTTTGGTTAAGACAAGCGACACGTCTAACGCTTGCGTGGCCTCTGAGCAAGGGATGATTGGTTCTGGTTCTTCTTCTAGTGCGACATCTAGAAAGACACGATGTACTGGTGTGTGCAAGTCAAAAGACATGTGCATGTTCTGATGGGCATGGCAGACAAGTTCCATGCAACTGCTCGCGACATGTTGTGTTCTATCATTTAATATCACAACTCCGAATGAATACGCACAATCTATCCAATCTTTGTGGTCATCATCCTCCTCGAGAGGATCCTCATCGGCAAGTGGCCTCCTTGAGAGACCGTCGACACCTTTGTGTTTTGTCACAGATATGTGAACAAGTTTGAATGAAAATAATAGAATGCCTGTGATCCATTGATTGATGGTCATGTTAGGCTGCAAATCCAGATTATTGATCATACCTTTGATATATTTCGCATCTACTTCAATGGTGAGATTCTTGACTCCGAAAATGAATATGCGAACTGCGTGAAGTGCGCAAAAGAGTCCATAGAGCTCTAGCTTCACTTGTGAGTATCAGCTTTCCACCTTGTTCAACACTATGCTGCCAAAACGATTAGGATATTGCTTGCCATCTGCGCCTACTTGCAGCAGAATGAACCCAATTGTGATGTTGGACGTGTCAATGGCAAGGATGATTTCACGCTCACTCTCATAATCGAGGCGGCGAAGAGTGGGAGACTCTAATACTGAGTCCTTGAGTGTCTGATACGATTCGCGTTCTTCAGGTCCGAAGATGAACAGAACATCTTTCCTGGTGAGATTAGTTAGCAGGCATGCCTTGCATGCGAAATCGCAGATAAAAATGCAAAGAATGCTGCAGGTTCCCAAGAAACTGCGGACTTGCGACTGGTTAGTAGGCTCTGGCCAATCTTGTATTCTTCTGGACTTTAGTGTCTTCGGGTATGCGACCCTCGAAGGTACACTTATGTCCGACGATAACTGCGCTCGGTGCAGCAAGGACAAACTTTGTTGCGCTGACTGTAATGCCGACGTTTTCGAGCTGCTGCAAGATGCAATGCATGACAATTAGGTGCTCCCAGATGAAGTGATGTATGCTGGGGTTTTCAGGTATGGTCTCATAAGTACCGTCTGCGAGTTCATATCGCATCTCAATGGACTTGACCGCGATATCATCTATGAATGGAAGTGTGTGCTTCGGAATCTCATCCTGTAGAATAAAGGCTTCATTGCCTTGAAAAATCTGCGCTGCGTTAGTATGACCTTGTGGTAAAGTGGTCAGCCTATGTGGGCCTAAAGGCGTGCTGAAGGTAGTAAGATTGTGCGACTCTTTGTGAAGCGCGCACTGGTCATATCCAGAGTATAACTCCATCATGCCATATATCACGTAACCCGCAAAAGATTCTGCGAGGTGTTCAACGAAGGGGGGTACTGACAATGCGAATTGTCACAGTGTTGAGTG